TGCATGTAACCCCAGGATTTGGAAGGCTGCTGAAGCAGGAGGATCACTGTGAGCTTGAGGCCAGTCTCGGCTACAAAGTGATTTCAAGGCCTGCAAGATCTTATCTTAAAAAAGAGACCTCCTCCCAAAAAAATTATTACAGTAAAAGACACACTGCCATTCATCCCTCTCAAAACACTCCCCCGCTTTTGTTTTGGGGGGTTTTGTGCGTGTGTTTTTGGGTTTTTTTGGTCTTTGCTATGAGCCCTTCCAGCACAAACACTAAGTGGACTAGACTTACAGCAGTCAAGGCGCTCCTAGCTTTTCACTTTGCTGCAGCTCTTCCCCATCTCCCAGTCACCCCGCTTGTCCCCACTATAACTCAAAGGCTGTAATATCAAGTCCTTTTATTCTTCATGCTGTTTATATCTTGCTTTCTTTGCCCGGGGTAAAAGGGTTCAAGTTCTTAATCTGTTCATGAAGGAACAAGAGAGATTTTTTTTTTCCTTTCAAGGTGCTTAAAAAGGAAAGACCTGAGTTGGGTTAAGTAAAGACCTCTCTCTCGGTGGAAAGCTTTATTATATGTGTAAGTAGAAATCAGAGAAAGTTGGGGACCAGGCAGGAATGTTCTTCCTTAGTCTCTTGCAGCAATGAACGTTATGTGGGGCTCCATGCCATCTCATGAACACAAAGCTGAGTAAACTGATGGATATATCTACCTTCAAATAAAAAGTTATCACTTGTTCCTCCATTTGTAACACAGATTAGTATTTTTATATTTAAATATAAAAACAAAAAAAAGTGGGTATTTGTCTCTTTCCCATAAAAGGAGAAAATCATCCTGGCCACCAGGTGCCAAATTGGGTTAAGGAGGATCTTTTGGGTAAGAGTAAGCAATATGATTAAAGAGCAAGTGTGGCCCAGTTCACAAAAACAAAAACACAAGAGGTGTTCAGCAAGGCCAGTGCATCCTCAATTTTTCAACTACTTCAAATGGCTTCAAGTCCTTTCCATTGAAAATATCCACTCCTTTTCAATTTAATTCCTATTCTACTCATCATGAAGGAAAATTCTGGATTCCAGAGACAAAAGAATTCCAATTAGGCCCCAACTCTCCTGGACTTAAGATACTATCTATGCTGCTCGCTAGCTGTGTGATTTTAAGTCAGTTGCCTCTCCCCATTTAGGTTTGCTAGCAATACAAGAAGCTACAGCAGGGGCTGGGGATTTAGCTCTGCGGCATAAGCGCCTGCCTTGAAAGCAGGCAGTCGTGAGTTCGATCCCTGGTACCGATAAAAAAAGGAAAAAGACAAAAAAAAAAAAGAAGCTACAGCCATGAGACATGGCTGAGCACAAGCTAGCAATGGGCAGAGTGGGATCAGGCTCCTTGGACTGCAGCCTTGCTCGGAAGGCAAGTTTTTTCAGGTACATGTGGTAAGGTCACCCAGGAGAGAGCTGTTCCTAAAATCATGGCATATTTCTGTTTCCCAATTAAAGTCAGAAAAAGAGTTTTAGAATAAACAACTGTCGCTGCCTCTGCATGGGTGGAAAAAGGCCCAACAAGACGACATCACAGTGCCTCTCAAAGGCAGCTCAAATCACAGCTGCAGTGACTTCAGCAGAGTCACTGAACTTTCTTCTACTTTGAAAGCCCATAACACACATCATCAGTGGTCACTATGGCCAACCAAAAATAGGGGAAGGGATTGTGCCCCTCAGACCAGAGTACTGAGATAGGGAAGTCCAATCGGAGGAAACATCAGGGGATGCAGGCAGCCTGGGGCTCCACAGCTGGGGTTAAGGAAACTGCTCAGCCCAGTATGATGGCTAGCACATACCTGGAAATGCCAGCTGCTCAAAAGACTGACAGCAGGATTCCCAAATTCAAAGCCAATTTAGCAAGACCCTATCTCAAAATAAAATTTTCTTAAAAGAGCTTAGGATGAAGCTCAGCACTCCTGGGTTCAATCCCTAGTAAAACAAAACAAAACATTCAAATTACTATGTGAGGTTCTCCTGAGGCCTCTACATACACAGCTAAAGTGGACTGGGGGGACCCAAGTAAGGGTGCATAATGACTAGACAAACCAGGCTCCTAGAATAAAAATCCTACCTTAGCCACTTGCCTTTCTAAGTGCCTTGCATTTTTTGTGCTGTCTAAAATGGGGCTAATAATCGTACACCTTAAATTATATACAACTCTGTGCTAAGCATGGTGGTATATGCCTGTAATCCAAGCTCCCAGGAGTGGAAGACCATTGCAAGTTCAAGGCCAGCCTTAGCTGCACAGCAATGACCTGTATTAAAAAAAAAAAAAAAAAAAAAAAAGGAAAAGAAAAAATAAAGAAGAAAGAAAAGAATGTATAAGTTCATGCTTAGAACAGTGCCAAACACAACCTCAATCACAAAAGATCAAACAAGGGCTGGGGGTTTAGCTCAGCGGCTCAAACTCTTGCCTGAAAAGTGCAAGGTTATGAGTTTGATTCCTGGTGCCAATGAAGAAAAAAAAAATCAAACATCAACTGGACAAGGTGGCACATGCCTGTAATCCCAGCATTTGGGAGGCTGAAGCCAGCCTGAACTACATAGCAAGACCCTGTCTAAAATTTAAAAAAAAAAAAAAAAAGATCTAACCTGCATTTTAAAAGAAACTGAAAATTTTGGAAATGGTGACATATACCTGCAATTCCAGCACTCTGGAATGCTGAGCAAGAAGGCTGCAAATTCAAGCCCAGCCTGAGTAATTTAGTGAAACTTTGTCTCAACTTTGTCTCAAATAGTCAATATATACATACATACATACAAATCAGTGGGGAAGTAGCCCAGTGGGAAGACCAAGGGTTCAATCTCCACTAAAGGCCTTGCCCTGCATTAGAAGAACCAAAGTGACTTGTACTTGTCCTCAGGAGTGAAACTGCCTCCCTCCCCAAAGCTGAGTTCCATCTGGTGCCCATCACTAGAGCAAGTATACTTCAAAGTCAGGGCCTGAACAGAAAGAATACAGCTCAAAACCACAGAAGCCTTTCTGGTAAGCATCAGCCAAAAATGTTTGTTTCTGACACTCTCAGGATGGTCACAGGGTGAACAAAGTGTGCAAACGTATATACAGAAACACAAAAGTTAAATATAACTGATGCAGAATGAGATATACCCTTGCTGGCCAACCAGTCAGGAGCAGAAGGGACCCCCCCCCCACTAGATTTTCTAGGGCATTCAAGACATCCAACAGGGTTGCTGCTAAATTCTAATCGCAGAGCCATGGAATTGAAAGAAAAACTCTGTTCCTTTTTCCAGAGCCACCCCTCATTCCAACTCAGACCAAAGCGTGAAGTCTCCTGTGAGGCACTCCCTTGCTTCGCAGGTGTGGATGGCCACCTCTGCGGCCAGCATCTGTGTCTCACACTCAATACTCAACATATACAAGTGTCCTCACTAACCCAGCCTCCACTTCCACATCCGACATTCAACTGGGATAGGTGTGTTCTCTTCACCTGAACATCCCTAGTGATGGGCAGGCAGCAAGCTCTAGTATATAGTTCCCAAACTGTTCTGGCCACACTGGCAAGGAAAACAATATTAGGGAAACAGTGATCTCTGTGATCCAGGAAGGAGAGCTGGGCCTCGAAACAAAACCACCCCAAAGAAGACAGGCATGATGTGTAACTGAGCACAGAAACCTAACCTGCAAAACTAAGACCCAGGAAACAGAAAAATATTACACTCATGTTTACATTGAATTTAAAATTCACAAAACTCAAAAATCCATTGACTCTAATGTCCAAGAGCCTATATGGTATCCTTTCCACATGTGACCCTTTTTCTGCTCCAATCAAAGCCACTCTACAACTAGTAATGGGCTGCATCAAGAAGTCACAAGCTTGGACCAACCAGCTACACTCAGAGAGCCATCGCTGAGTCTGTCCAAGGTAATGGAAGCAGATGACAAAAGTACAAAGCAGAAAAGGGTGGCATGTCCAGGGTGGGGCCCTGACTAGAGCACCTCGAGCACCTCAGATGAGTGCACACCTCTGCACTGCAACACCCAACCTTGATGTCAATTACAGATGGGTCCTGGGCACTTCTGCGGTCACGGGCACCTTCTTACATTAAAAAATACTTAAAATTATACTTTGCATTGCATTGGCTTAAACATGGCTATATTAATATTCACACATTTTCTTTCACCTAAAATTATTTTTTACTGATTGTAAAAAATGTGGCAGACCATAAAAGTACAGTCGCCTGCAACACTAGGTCTCCCACACCTAACGGATAAACCAGCCCTGCTTTAGTTAGATGTTCTTGGTGCTGTTCAGGAGTAGCTGAAATAGGTAGAAAAGGCCCTTTTGGTTGTTACGGTTCTGATTTCTTACCACAGACATATTCACATAAAAGTTCCAAAAGCATTTAATCAAATCACATAGGAGGGCTGTTAAGTGCTCTGCACCGCTGCGATGTCTCTCTACCCTCTGCACACCGTGCTCTGAAGACTCCTAGTACCGCCACTGGACAGGGCGGAGGACTTCTCTGGGGCAGCGCCTAACGGGAAGACAAGTTGCCACCCTGCAAACTGATGTCCAGGATCCCAAAGTTAGCACGAAACCGCAGCCAGACTATGCCTATGAATCCAAGTGTCTCTTTGAGCTGCTCCAGGCCCGAAACCCACCAGTCGCTCTCAGAAACCCGGCCCGCAGAACACGACCAGCAGCTCCCGGCCGGGGCCACCTGAGACTACAAAGCTGCCGCCGCAGCGAGTCAGGAGGCTACACGATCTAGGGCACCGCAGCACAAGCGAGGCGCTCTGATCCCAGGGACGCCCCTGCTCCCGCCAGGTCTAGGAACGCCCGGAGGTCAGCAACTCTGACCTCACCTGCCCCTTTGCGACTCGCAGCCTCACTAGAGATCTCTGGCCGCGAGAGGAGGCCCCGGGGCGACCCGAGCCGGACTTGCAGCCGCGGCCCCGCCCCCGCCCCGTTGCCCCGCCCCAGCCCCCCCCCCCGGCGCCCACCGGCGCAGCGCACCTGGCCGCAGCGGCTCGGTGACGGTGAGCACGAGCAGAAAGAGCAGCAAGAAGGCACCGCTGTCTGCCTTAGGCACCATTTATCCTCCGTTCATCGTCCTCGGGGCGGCCGCGCGTGACCCCGTAGCGAGGCCTGACCGGGCCGGGCAGAGGATCGGAGAGTCGGACCGAGGCCGGGTGCAGAGAGACGATGGACAAAGGCTTTCGTGGGGCTGCGGTGACGATCGGCCGCAGAAGAGCAGGGATAGGGACTCTCTAGCGCTGTAGGTCGCAGGCTTAGAGTCCGACTCTGGCTCCGTGCAAGATGGCCGCCGTCCTTCTTGGGCCCCCTGCAGCCCCGCCCACGGCCAGCGACGCCAGCGCAGACCAATGAGCGCTGAGGCAAGGGCGGGGCCAGCCTGCTGCCCTCGGCGTGCGGACCATCTGTTAAACTAGGGGTGGAGTCTGAGTGGCAGGGCGCGAAAGGGGCGAGGCCTAAAGTCAGAAAGGCCGAGGGGCGGGCACGGAGAGGAAGGCGGGACGATAAACTATGACGCGCGCCATTGGCTAAGCAGGGGATGGGTCTCTGAGACCGAGCCAGAGCCGCAGACCCCGCGAAGAACCTACAATCCGGAGTGTGAGAGTGTGAAGCGGGGGCGTAGAAGAGCATCGGAGGGTTTGGAACCACAAGGATGGACCGAAGAATGAGAAGTAGGAAATCCATAGCGTGAAGCAGGACCCTGGGATGGTCTTTTTTTTTGAGACAGGGTCTTGTGTAGTTCAAGCAGATCTTGAACTCACTATGGAGCTCAGGCTGGGGCGAGTTCGAGTCCAGCCTGGGCTACATAGTGAGTTTAAGACCAGCCTGAACCCGGTACCAAAAAAAGGGGAGGGGCAGGGATATAATAGCTCAGTGGCACAGCACCTGCCTGGCAAGTGTGAGGTCCTGAGTTCGGTTCCTAGTACCAAAAAAAAAAAAAAAAAAAAAAAGAAGAAGGATAGTCCCAAGGGTGAAAGAGGGTAGTTCACACTCCCTAAAACAGATCTTCAAGGATAAACTCAAATTTAAGCTAGACCCTTAGGGGCTTCTACTCTCACAGGATGTTGCACAGAGCAGGTGCAGGACAAAGGGCTTGTCACTGCAGATGGGCCCAAAAACCTGCAGGTAAGAAAGTCGCTATCCAGTTCTGTCCTGGCTGCTTGTACTATTCTTAGGAGGATTCCCAGGAATAGCTGCCAGTGCTCAGTGTGAGATCTGGCCTAGCCTTCTGCCCCCAGCCCCGGTTTGCCCTGGAAGTGAAGTGGGGGCTATGGACTGCACAGATCCCTAGGAGGGAACTCACAGCCAGGATCAGAATCCTGCCAGTTGTCCCCCTGCAGACCCACAGTAAGGCAAGCGGGCAGCGAAGGTTCAGATGGGGAGAGAAAGGTACACATAGGAGAACGGCCCAGCCTAACCATGCAGGAAGAGGGCAGCGTCCTGGCTTCCCATGCTGCAGCGATGACTGCATCTCTGCTGACTCCTATCTTTGTTTTTTTAAAGAGAATAAAACCAAGCAAAATGAAACAATAAAGCCAATCAAAGCAAATCGGTGTGGGATTTAGCTCAGTGGCATAAGCACTTGCCTGGTCAGCGTGAGGTCATGAGTTCAATCCCCAGTACTACTGGGAACCCAGCTAAGAGTCCCAATTGTCAGTATCAGGAAAGCAGTCAAGAATCCTGATAGTAGGGCCAAGGGGTTTAGCTCAGCAGCACAAGCATCTGCCTGGCAAACATGAGGTCATGAGTTTGATCCCTGGCACCACACCAAAAAAAAAAAAAAATGCTGTGAGAAAAATAAAAAACAGACAAGTCTCATATTTCAACAATGACTAGGCAGTCATAGTCTCTGGATCTGACTTTCTCCACTCCTGAAACAGCCACTATTTATTTGGTCTATACAGCGATAGATGGGGCTAGCAAAGGATTATAAGTCATCCAAAAACTCTGACTCCAAAGAGCATAGATAATCTTATGTTTGAAGTATTTTGACCCGAATATAATCCTGTAAGAAGGCGTAGATGATATGTTTAGAAGTACTTTGTCCTTGAGTATAATCTGAGATGACTTAAAAAGGCATAGATGATCTTATGCTTGGAAGAATCGATGGGAAATCCCAGTTAGGTGATATCAACAATCTCAGTTCTTCCTTTTATCCCACAGGGAAATAGGAAAAACTAGTCACTGTGAAGCTGTGGTTCCCAACATAGTGCCCCCCCCCAAAAAAAGCTGGGCATAGTGATGCACTCCTTGTAATCCCAGCACTCAGAAGGCTGAGGCAGGAGGATTGTTGCAAGTTCAAGACCAGTCTGGGCTACAAAATGAACCCAAGGCCAGTCAGAACCACATAGTGATACACTGACTCAAAAAGACAGAAAAGCTGGGCGTGGTGGCTCATGCCTATAATCCCAGCACTCTGGAGACTGAGGCAGGAGGATCATTTCGAGTTCGAGACCAGCCTGGGCCACAAACTGAGCTCAAGACCAGCCTAAACTGCATACCGAGACCCGGTCTCAAAAAGACAACAACAAAAAAAAGACAGGGGAAAAAAAAAAAAAAAACAGTGTAAGTGACACAGGACTTAAAACAATAGGAAGTCAATAATGGTTGCCATAATGCCTCTTGTCTTCAAAATAGCTGCAGATACCTTCAAACATAGTCAAAATCAAACAAAATAGAACAGAATAGAACTGATAAAAATAAGATAATGAATGCAATAAAGGACTTCAAAACGAGTAAATCCAAAATAACTACTGTAATATATCTTGTTATCTTTGAAATAGCTGTCCATGCCATTGGATATAATAAAATCAGACAAAACAAAATAGAAAAAACCCAAACCAACAAAACAATGAAAATGATACAGGACTTCAAAACAAGATAGTAGGGAATTAACAATGGCTATCACCTTCAGAAGGAGCTCCCTTATAGGTGCTATATTGTATACTGTTATCATCTGAATAGATGATCAGACTACTGGCGTTAGACTTGCAAAGTCAGTGAAACACTAAACACTATAAGCATTAAATTATATTTTACCTCAATAGCTATCATCACAGCCTGTGTTTCTCTGGATTAGCCAGGAGCTTTCAACAAGGGTGGGATTGGGTCTTCTTGTTTCCCAGCCTGCATGCTGTAAGGTACTGGCATCTGGCTCTCCCCACAGTGGCCCATACATGGCACCGATTCACAGGGAGGGCTTGCTTCTTGGTGACTTTTTGTTCTCTTCCCCCATAGCCTGCCCTGCTCCCACTTTTGTAAATCGCCCCTGTATTAAGACCTTCTCAAATTATCCTAAATCCAGTTGACCTTCTGTTTCCTGTTGGGACCCTTACTGGTTGGGCCATATGCCCTAGAGTCTCTGTGATTACCTGATTTGCAGCCATCAACTCCACCACTCTACATGCTGTCCAAACACCATGTTTAGAAATAGTGGCAGACCTACACATCTTCACAGCCCCATCTGCCTCAGGTCCCAACTAAACTACAAGTCCTCCCTGCTGACCTGGGGTCTGCTCCAGCCTGCTAATGGGGCTTTCAGGATTCCAAGACAAAGTGGCTCAAGCCAGAGTTTCATTCCTGTGGGGCGCTGCCCCTTGTGACTTCACCCACTGACGTCACCTGGGAGACAGTGCTGAATGTTCTTTCATTTTAACAAGCAGGCACAACAGTCAGGCCCAGCCAACCAGAGACATCCATCCAGGTGTAACTGCCATTGCTGCTGGCTCAAGTCCCTCAGGAATGTAGAGGGCAACATCAAAGGCACCAGGTACTTCTGAAACTATGGATACTACTGCTACTGAGGCTGTATCATGGGGACAAATTTGGGAGAGGGTTCAATCTCAGCAGCCAAATATGCTTGTTCTGAATTCCTAGAGCTCAATGTGGCAGTCAAAATCATCAACCTCAAGAAAGCTCACACAAAGTTCATACAGAAATTCCTTTGAAGAGAAATTGAGCTTCAGACAAGGTTAAACTATCCCTCCATTACCAACTCTTATGAGATCTTTGAAAGATCCTGGGCAAGTTCTATGCTTTATGGAGCTCAGGGTTCAGGAGAACTTTCCGAAACTCTTCAGAATCCAGGGGCCCCTGCCAAAGAATGACTCTCACAAGTTCTACCTGCTCTCCTCAGCATCAAGTACTAATGCCATGACCTCACCAAGGTCCACTGAGACCTCAAGTGCAAAAACATTTTGCTTGACAAGGAGTTAAAAATAAAATTGTCTTATTTTAGCTTTCCCAAGCATGGCCTGCAGGACAACAGCAGGTGACTGACACTGAGCAACCCCTTCTGTGGTTCTGTGGTGTACTCCCAAGGTGATACAGCACTTCCCGTATGATGTCTGACATTTGGAACCTGGGCAGGATCTTTCACATCATGATCTGTGACTTCATGCCCTACAACTACCACCATATCATGAAAAGGAGCACCATGCCAACTTTCAAGCACCTGACCAGGGTATGCAAGGACCTTGTCTATAGTTGTCCAGTGTCTACAGCACTGGCACACCACAAGATCTTCAATCACTGTTAGGTATAGACCAAGACAAAGAGTCTGCCCTCCACAACAAGGGGAAGAATTCCCATGGCACAGAAGCTTCCTGAACTTCAGAATTTGGCTGAAAAAAAGAATTTGGCTCAAAAAGTCCATCACAGGACCAGGGATATAGCTCAGTGGTACATTAGACCTCATGCCTGGGAAGCATTAAGTCATAAGTTTGATCTTCAATACCAAAAAAAAAGTCCATCACTATCTGGGCATGGTGGCATGGACCTATAATCCCAATACTCGGGAGGCTGAGGCAGGAGAATTGCAGCAAATTCAAGGCTAGGTTGGGCTGCATACTGAGTTCAAAGCCAGCCTAAACTACATAGCAAGACTCTTGTTTCAAAAAACAAACGAAGAAGAGGAAGAAGAGAAAGAGGAAGAGGAAGAAGAGTCAAATTTCGACACTAAACTGGTTCCCCCCATGTCCACACCTCTGCAATAGGTGTGATCCAAAGCACAGTCTAGACAAAATCTATGAAGGAAATGGTACAAGTGGCCAGGCAGTGGAGGCCCAGGGCTTCTACACTGAGCAGCTTCTCAGGGAGATAGAGGTTTAAATATACAGCATACACAGCGTCCTCTAGAAAGGCACATCCAGTGAACTTCGAGGCCAGCGGGGAATGGAAAAGAGTTCAAGCTTGAAGCTTGAGCCTGAGGTGTTATTTTGTCACATTTTTCTCTTCCTCTTTGACACATGTCGAAAGAACTAATAAATTAGCCAGGAGAGGTGGCTTGTGATTGTAATTGCACCACTCTGGGAGGCTGAGGCA